GGCCAAACTCACTATTGTTCCCGTCAGCGCTCCGATCGCTGTTAATAATTGCAAACTCATGGCCCGCTTCTGAGAGCAGCCGGACTTAATGAGTACCGCATAGTCGCCGATCTCGTGGGGTATTTCGTGAACCATAATTGCGAGACCTGTCACTAAACCCACGTTATGGCCCGCCATGAATGAGCTCCCAATTGCCAGACCATCCGTAAAGTTATGCACCAAATCTGCCACAAGATTCAGATAACCGGATATATCTATATCTTTTGTATCATCGCTATTATCCAACACCTGTTTGTCGACTAAATCTTGATTCTTGTGGCAAATGGTTTTGCATTTATTACTCAAGTGTTTCTCATTTACACTATTTTCATAATTATTATTCCCATTATTAGTGATAATCTCATTGCAATTGGTGCCAGAATTGAGATTTTGTTGACAAACGCTATAATTTTTGGCGATTCGCACACTTTTCTCCATTACAAAAAAGCCCACAAATCCGGCTAATATCCAGAGACCAGTACTCAGATGGTCGGCGCCGGCGTTCGCCAGAGATTCAGGTATGAGATGAAGAAAGGCATCGCCGAGGAGTCCGCCGGCGGCCAAACCTAAGCACATGCGGAGATGTGACGCATAGGCCGGTGTGTTGTCCAATGGTATGAGGAATAGTATGAGATACGGCACTATCGATATGATGAATGTTGTGGACAATGCACTCGACCAGACCGGCAGTTGAGGGTATGTATCGTTTAGCGCATCGATTGATACGGAAATGTCCGCTTTCACGTCGGCTATCATTTCTGTCAAAACCACGTAAACAGAGTTTAATACACTTATCATTATGTCTTTGGCTCTGATTTATGTCTTTTTAATTATGTTTTTCGCTAAACTTTCGCTAATATCGTCGTTAATAACGGATATCTTCTGACAAACTATATGTAGTAATGACTTATTAATTATAATTAATTGCTTAATGATTTGTTTTTTAACAAATAGGCAGACATTAAGGCAAAAACACTTGATTATCATTGAAAGTGTGGTTTTGCGTCAAAAAACGAGTTTCTTATCAGTGTTTTAAACAATGAAGAGATGAGTGTCTGATTATATCGATTGTCAACTTCTGTTTGCATAGAAGTCAACACAAATTCACAACTCATATGACGATCGACTCGATTGTGATTTACTTTTCAAACTATTGATAAACTTTAACATACATTAGATTACTATTGTTTCGTTTAATGGAAAGTAAATTTCACTTTTAATTGTTTTTATAATAAATATTATAATTATAATTATTAAATCTATAGTTCCGACTATTATATTTAATAACTTGATAACTTACTAATTTGATAAGTTTCACAATTAAATTCTCAAGTATTTAATTATATATTTATCGCATTATTCTTGTAATCAATTGTTTTTATTTTTAGATTTTTACCTCATATTTAGTAGAGATAAGAAAATGTTAAATATTTTATAGATGAAGTAATTATGGTAATAATTGTAATATAATATAATTACCTAATTTATAATTATTTCTCTAATTTATAACTAAAAGTGTAAAATTAATTTATATAATTATATAACTTAGGAATTGTATGTTAAGTCAAGAAACTAAATGAATTGATGGGTTGTGTGCTCTCATCTGTTGAAAATGAAATCAAATAAATTTTAATTATATTTCATAAGAATTTGTGAATCAGAAGACGTGAATTTTGAGAGAAAATCTGTTTTCACATAATATTAATTACAACTGAAATAAGAAAAACATGAAATATAAATTATTGCACAAACATTATGATACATTTAATTTAGCGTAAAATAAGTAATAAAAATTATCAAAACAAACAAAATGAATGAATTTAAAAGTTTTAAGTTGTTTTATAGTGTATTAATATTAGTAAAACTCATTGATTTTACAATAAGCTCCAATAGTGCTCAATCAAACGCTAACATAACCAATAAAGCAAGTGCTAAATGTTTCGCATTAGTTAATGGGGCAAAAAATGATGGTAAAGCGTTGAACACAACTGATCCGGCATTTGTCGAGTGTATGACTAGTGTCTCAAACGAAGGGATCGGTGATCGGCGGAGAGAGAGACCAAAGTTTGATAAAAAGACGGGAATAGACCTCTTAGGCATTGTGGTGAGCCCTTTGCTTAACATTACAAAACCTATTTTGGGTGTTCTGATGAAACCGTTTTTGGGAAGTCGACCGAAGCATAAGTTTTCGACCAAAACTGTGAGTAAAATGAGACGCATTGGTAAAAGAAAGAGCTCATTAGATATAACCAAACATTCGCTATCCCTTCAAAGTGATGGTGTTTTCAATTTCGATACTTTCGCCAAAAGTTTTCCACTTTTTGGTGAATCACTCTTTAAGACCAATCCATTGAATACGAGATCAAGAATGGCTAAGTTTAGAGACAAACATGGCTTCAGTCATTTGGATTGACATTAATAATGTTTGCTTCAAAAATATATTTTATTGTTTCATTAATTTTTTTTGTAAAAGTATCATAATTAATAATTGGCAAAATGGTTATTTTTATTTAATTCATTGTAATACTGTAGTGATACCATAAAATACAATGTATTCAACACATTATTGTATAATAGTTCAAATTTTAGTATTGCAATCATAATTATAATTTAAAGCTGGATGTAATAATTAAAATATTTTTTTAAAAATAAATATCATTGTGTCCCTTAATAACTAAATGCCTGTTATTTTAACATTAATTTCTATTAATATTTCTTAAAGAAAGTAAATTAAAAATTAAAAATCTACAAAATATAGCAAAATTATAAATTATTTTTATTAACCTAATCACATGAATACACATTATTGAAAAGCATTGATTTGCATTTAAAACGACATAAATTGTCATAAAATTAAGCAAATTTTGCATATATTTGCTAAACTGAATGATGAAATCGTGTCTCTATTTTAGACTTTACATGAATTCATGACAAATGTCAAAATGTATGACTAGAATGACCATGGTTATAAGTGGTTGGCTAACCATTAACTCATAGTATCCAATCATAAGCTATATAACTCATCGATGAACTTAATGTACCCCCGATATAGTGAACAACCATATCGTATGCTATGATGTTGTAATGGAAAGGGAGGCCAGGGATGGGAATCCATAACTTTTATACACAGTTAACAATCTATTCATTCATTTCATGCGAGTCTACCTCTGAATACGTTTTCACGTTTGGAGAAAAACCCAACACTTGTTTAATCCGTTTATTTAATTAAGAAATTATCAATTGATTTGATTAATAAGTTTAGCGATTAATGCAATACAATGTCTAATATGTTGAGAGTCGACACCAAAGCCGTGTTTCCCACAAATCCGTCACTCAATCACTCATACGTTGGATTCAATTCATGTTTGTATTCATTATTTGCTTTATTTTCTCACTTT